TGCAAGAAACTGAACAGTATTTATATCGTTTTTTACCTCTGATTTACTGCAATGTCCGAACTGTCCTGAGCTCATCCTGAGCACGTTCGCGTCTTCTTCTTCAGCTGGCGAGTGACGCGTCTTCTTCTTCTTCGTTAAAAATCTTTGTTTGTGTTCTACTGAAGAAACAAAGTCACCTACATCTTGGATGCCCTGGGGATAAGTGGATAAACATCAAATTTTCATTCTTGGGTGAACTATCCCTTTAATAAGTTTATAATAGCTTCCTAAATCATAATACATTTGGTTTAATGGCACAGATATTTCAAAGTACATTGCACCCTTGAGTGCTGAGGTTTGTTACAGCTGCAGTAACACAATAGCACAATAGTATGTATGGCGGAAGTGTGTGTTTGTGATGCTTTTGATTAAAATTCTTCTCAGCTCTTCATCTGACAGAAAAATTGTATTTTACACATACCTTTGCTCAAGTAATTCCTGTGGGTTATTGGACGAATGGATAGCTGGTCTCCCAAATGAGACATTGCCACAGCTGTATAGTTTCCTTCCATTGGCTTCATCTCTGTCCATGTCTTTCAGAGTCATTCAGATCCACATGAACACTTTTCATAGCACTGCTTATAGATTATAGATTTCACAGCTGCTTAGTTCCTTGTGAAAAGAAATGTATATAAAAATATATATATTAGTTATAAAAGCGTTACAAATCAGTATCTGTAATTTACCTGTAAATTACCTAAATCTGTCTAATTTACCTCCAAAATCACTTGACATTTTAAAGCTTTATATATATATATATATATATATATATATATATGTGTATGTATGTATGTATGTATATATATATATATATATATGTATGTGTATATATATGTATGTGTATATATATATATATGTATGTATGTATGTATGTATGTATGTATATATGTATATGTATATGTGTATGTAATGTTAATATACTTTCTCCTATTCAAGCTTATTATACAGAGTAAATTGTACTGCCCCTAGAGGCTAAATGCAGTAACTATGCCAACAATGGAACTAAGAAAAATGTTTCACAATTTGTTGCATTTTTATTGATTTAATATAATTCTTTACACTTTTTTTTTCTTTAACTGAATATACTGTATATCTAAGTCAAACTCAACTGTCACAGGTATCATAAAAAACAATTGTACAAACACATCATAGTCATGTACTATACAAGACAACAACAACAAAAATAATAATAAGCCTGTTTCTCCAGTCCTTGCAAAACATTATCAATCATTTCATCTTTCACAGTTAAGCTTTTGTGGTTGCATTACAATGCCTGTTTTTTTTAAGCTTTTTTGAGTTTTGTATAAATGTGGCATTTTGCTTGAAGAATTGCTTTTGTTCTCTGCAGGGCTGTGCCTTAGAGTCTATTCATGCCATAAAACGTCTTGTGTAATTTATTTTTGTACAAGTACAAAACTCCAGAGGCTCATTGAAAAGTGAATAATAATGCCATTTGTTGTTCTGTGGTCTCGTTTATGTCATTTAGTTAGTCGTAGTCCTGTCTCCACAGTACTTAATCAATGGTTTTTCTCTCGTTTCAGAACTGGGCTCATTCACAGGCACATCAGGATCTTTAGAGAACTGGTACGACCCCTGCATCACATGTTTGAATTGGCTACATGTTAACATGTTAATGTCCAGATTCATCCCTTCATTGCTTCATCCCAATTTGTCTACTTTTACTATACCCTAAAAGTACGTACTCTATTTGTGAATCAGGATCTTTAGAGAACTGGTACGACCCCTGCATCACATGTTTGAATTGGCTACATGTTAACATGTTAATGTCCAGATTTTATGCTTCATCCCAATTTGCCTACTTTTACTATACCCTAAAAGTACGTACTCTATTTGTGAAGAAAAATTACATACTTTTGAGTGTGTAGCAGAATATTAGGCAAGCTTTGGGACATACTACTTCAACCGCTGTTGCTTAGTGTGATATGCATCCTGTCACTGTTTAAACTGGCCTGTCAATCATCTTGTCACAGTTAACATAATCCACATTTAGTTTCAGTTAATTTCCTGGAGAGAAATTAAGTAACGCGCTGATCTGCCAGTCGCGGGTCTTTTGTGCCGAGAACTGACCTCATGTGTTTCCATAATGATGCATTTAAAAGTTAATGACCAAACGTATCTTTATAAAAGTTCAAAATGTTATTGCAGATGAAATAGAACGTGGATAATATTAAATAAATATTTTTTTCATCAGGTTAGATATTGAATATTAATCACTCAAACCCCTTTCTCTACTTAACTGTTGGTCTAGCATATATACCATTTGTAGTTTTTATTTGTGTAACACTTTTTATTTGTGTTTGTAATTCTAATCTAGACCGCATCCAACGCACAATGGGTCATTAGAGTGTGCACGAATTTGCACTTTGAATTTTCACTGGAAATAGTAAACCATCCGGGTAACTTTGGGACACTCATTTCAACAAATAGGGAGACACTAAGTCTAATTTTGAATACCATTTAGGACGGATAGTCTGCAAATTGAGATGCAGCACCAGTTTTACATTTTCCCATTTATCATCTTTCGTCTCGTTCAGTATATCAGAGGAGGACCCGGGGCCATTGCGGAGTGACAGTGAAGGCAAAGTTGGAGGAACGAAAGTGAGCAGGACATTCAGTTACCTCAAGAGCAAAATGAGCAAGAAGAGCAAGGTTGGTATATAATGAAACAATTTAGATTATGATTTAATATTTATAATTTAATGTTTAAATATATATATATATATGTGTGTGTGTGTGTGTGTGTGTGTGTGTGTGTGTGTATGTTTCAGCTGTAGTCGAACTAAGATTCTTCCAATCAAAAACCAATACATTTCCTTCATGTGGGCCTGTCTGAAGCATCTCAGACCTTATTAGTGGAAACAAATGTTATCGTTTTAGTGTGCCTCATCATGCTGAGCTAATGGTGTTCTTTGATGCAGCAGCATGCACCTGCTAATTAACTTTTGAGGTTTTCTCCCTGTGGTCCCTGTAGATGATAGGGTTGCTGATGGTGTGAAAGCTCTCAGCAACCCCTGCGCTATCTGAAGTTGTTAAAAGGTTTGCTCTTGCGCAGGCAACTCTGTGCACACACTGTCTGGCGTACAAGAGCTCGCGGTAGGGAAGTTCAACAGGATGTTGAAGCAAGCTGTGGTCTCTCTATGGCTCTGTTAAATGCACTCGCTCACACTAAAGCTTTAGAGCTCATGCAATTCTGTGAAAACAGATGCATGTTAAAATCTATGACTTCACAATTTCAGAGAACTTTCTTGACACTTTTTTGATGTCCACATGAATCAGCTGGGCCCCCATATATGGTTTATGTCCTCAAATGTGGTTTAGGAATTTATACACATTATTTGACCTAAGAAACCCACACACCTTAATTTGCCACATCGTTTTTTTTTTTTTACATTGTGTATGGAATAGTGTCATATTGGTAACTAGGCCAGTGATGAAGACAGGATGCATCTTAATTGTTTAATGTAACATGGTCACTCCGGGTTTGAATTAACTGCAGTGTCGATTAGAATTTCGATCTATATTGAATTGGCTAAATGACAGAATGCAAACAAAAAGCTGCCTCTTATACTAGGGAGGGTCTATGGTAAAAGGAAGTGCACTGTATCTTTAAGTTGAACCCCGATGTGAAAGATGACAGAAAGAAACTGAAGTCACTTCCTCTGGCTGGCTCGTCTGCTCTCCGTCATGGGAACTTATGTGTTTGTTTAGACAGACTCTCAACCTCATCTGCCGTACCTTCAGGCCAGTGCGCTCACTGGCTACCTTGCATCTGAGATGTCTATGCTTTGTCGTAGGTTTTTACCGCAGGGTCGGTCACTGAAGATCAAGAATACTGGTGGTCTGGTTGAGGTAGGACTGTGATATCAAAGAGAAGATGTTAGATTTTTTTGTCATGTATAGTGAAAAGAGACATTTATTTGATGTTCTGATGTGTTTGTGATTATGATTTTTAGAGGTTTGTTGTGTTAATTTATTGCCTTGGCAACTTATTTTTACTTTTTTTTTTTGTGCTTCCCGAGAGCATTGTTTCACTCCAGTTGAGAATTGCGTGAATTACTTGAATCACTTGTGTTGTTCAAATAGTTTTTTTTTTATTATTGAATTTTCTATACATTCTATACATTTTAGTCATGTTTAAACTCTTTGGGAAGTGCACTTTGACCCTCTTCCTCCTTAAACAGTTTGTAGCCAAATAATTTTTTCCTGGTGTTATGATATTAAGCCACCCATCCATAATCACTGGAATACTAGTTCATTAAATGTGCAGCAACATTTTAATTATTTTTAGCAGGTATTGGATACTAAGAATTAATGAGACAATCCTATTCATTGAATTCTACCAATATTTTTTTGCATAATCACTGGAATACTAGTTCATTAAATGTGCAGCAACATTTTAATTATTTTTAGCAGGTATTGGATACTAAGAATTAATGAGACAATCCTATTAGTTGAATTCTACCAATATTTTTTTGTTGTTGTTGTTTTCCTATTGTGGTTTGCACGTGGTCACAATCTTGGTATGTGACAGTTAGAGCAGATCAGCCAGGGTTTGTAATCAGGGTGGTCTGTGAAAATGGCCACAATCTGCGATTTGGCTCCACTAGAGCTATCTTTTCTCAAGCACACTGTAATGGAGTGAGCATGCTGTGGTTTTGACACTTCATGTAAGGTGCCAAAGAAACAAGGAAAAAGGATTTGGAGTGTATTTGATGGATGGAAGGTTCATGAATGGGTAGATGGTTGGATGATTGATAGGTAGTTGGGTGGATAGATGGATAAGATGGATGGGTGGATTGTTTGTTGGATTGATGGGTAGAGATACTTTTATAGATCGGTAAATGGGGGGTTAGGGGCTAGGTAGATGGATACATGGGTAGATTGATGGAAGATGGGTAGATGGATAGGTAGATGGGTAGGTTATGGAAGGCTGGATGGATGGGTACATGGGTGGAAGTTGGTAGATACATTTATGGATGGATGGATGTGATGTCACGTGACGTGACGTGATATAGAGGATGGATGGATGGATGTAGATGAGTAGGGAGAGATGATGTTGAGAACATGCAGATGTTGAAAATGTGATATTGAGGATAGATAGATGTTGAGAATGTATGAAAGTGTGTTTCATCTCTGCAGCTTAAAAAGAATGATGAATATGAATGAAAGTATCGATTGTGCAGCTGATGAGGCTTCTCCTGTGATGGATGCAGCAATGCTCTGCTGACACTGTGAGTTTTATGATGGATGTGCTCCGCTCCCATTTAATCTCCCATCTGGGCCAGGACCTCGCTGTAACCGAGTCTAATGCACAGCTCGCACTGTCTGAAAGCACTGTACATCACACATCTATACTCTGATTTATTCATTCATTCACATTTTGGCTTATATTTTGCAGGAGAGGGAGAAAGACAAGAATAAGGAGCGCGAGCGAGATACCAAAGACAAGGAGAGGAGAACCTCAAATGGACATCTATTCACTGCGATCATGACAATACCCACAATCCCCTGCCAACAGTGCAACAAACCCATCAACACTAAAGATGCCTTCCTCTGCACCAGTAAGAGCACTTTACTTATTATAGAGTACAGAACTCTATTCTACTCTCTATAATCTTCTTTACTATTCTATACTCTATTCTATACTCTATTGTGCTTTACTCTCTATTCTACAATTATTGACATTTTATTCTTTTACACTCTTTTCAGTTCTACTCTCTACATTCTACTCATCTATTTTCTTTTATGGTCTTTACTTTTCTTTATTTCTATTCTTTTCTATTGTATATTCTGCTCTCTTCTACTCTACTGTTCTATACTTTCTATTCTACAACTTTTTCAAACTTTATACTATACTCTTCTCCTCTCTGCATGTAATTTGTTATGATATTAATGGCAAACTTTATACAGTACTTCTGTTTAATTAAAATATATTTGGATTGGTATCAGTTGTGTATTTATTCAATTAAATATACACAAAAACAAAAAGTTTGTAAAATAGTGCTCTGTTCTATTCTGTGCAGTCATTTCACTTGCTTCTTTTGTTTTGCCATAGGCTGGTGTCATTTTTTGGCACTTCCTCCTTTGCTTTCATTTGCAGCGCAGTCATGCACAGAGTTTAATTTACTGCTGCGAAAGTGTTTTTTGCAGAAGCTTGCTTCGCAAGAGATTCACAAGAAATTGGTTAAATAAATTTTATTCCATAGAGAAAATGCCTTCAGATTGTCTCTTGAAATAAAGAAGCTATTTTAATTAGCTAGTCAGCGACAGCTTCTAGGATAGTTTTTGTGATTTAAAGCCACGCATGAGCAGGTTTCTGGAGAGACACCGTTGTGCACGATATGTGTGGAGAATTGGGTTAATATGCATCTCAGAGTGAGCAGAGTTTTGAAGAAAGCAAGAAAAAAAATAAAGGAGTAATCATGGCTATCTGCCCAGTCAGGCCTTACACAGTGTTGCATCACTCTGTGGCTCCACCCGCACACAGCTGGCAGGGCTCAGCGCTGCACTGAGAGCAGTCAGTGTGCTGGAACATCCTGTCAGCACACCGCTACCGCCATTGCTCTCTCTGCTTGTTGTTCTCAGAGGATGTACTGGCAGACTCATCACCGTTTCCTCTCGTTTCCCAAAAGTGACTGATGCTCGAGACACACACACGTCTTGTGTGATAACGTTGTTATTATTATTATTTAACAGTTTAATACGCTGTTACACTAATAAATACACTACTGTTTTAGCTGCATTCATTTGATCAGAAATACAGGAAAAACAGCTATATCATAAAATATTATTACGATTTAAAATAACTGTTTTCTATTTTAATGTATTTTAAAATGTACTTTTTTCCTGTGATGTCGAAGCTGAATTTTCAGCACCCTTACTCCAGTCTTCAGTGTCACACGATCCTTCAGAAATCATTCTAATATGCTGATTTGAACTGTCTATTCATCAAAGAATGCTGAATGCATGAGAAACAGCGCTTATTTGATCAAAAATACATTTTTGCAGAATAAAAGTGTGAATTACAAAAAAATTTAAATAAAATGAATAAAAATAAAAATCTTATTGACCCCAAAGATTTGAATGGTAGTTATGAAGGACCAAACCTGCAGAAATTAAAAATAAATATACAAACAAACAAACAAATAAATAAATATAATAAGAAATAAATAAAGGAATAAATGATTTGATAAAACAAATACAATTCATTTGTATTATTCCTTAATTTCTATTACCTTTTTTCTTTATTTTTTATTTTCTGTATTTATTTTTACATTCATTTTTATTCTTTTTAAATTTGATTTACTTATTCTTTCATTTATTGTTATATTTATGCATTTATTTATTTTTATATTTATTTATTCCCACATGTATTTGTTTCCAGATTTATTTATTAGTTTATTTCTTTTAACTTTCCGTGTGCAATATGGAAATGAGGGAGGCGGTCCTTGCAGAGCTCCAGTGCATAATTGGTTATAAGCGTCAATAGTCAGCTCTAACTAAATGAGAGAAATTTATACGGGAGTTTATACGGGATGAGGCAGATCAACTGGAGAGTTATTTTTATCGATTCTCATTATGATGTTAAATTATTTTATAGCGACCACAATTTTCCAGAAATAGAAGCACAAAGCTGAATCCAGCTACTTGTGTGATCCTTCCTCACACAGCATTGTCATCAAGCCCAGAATCATCACCAACATTGTCAGATTCTAGGTTGATGACACCCAGTGGGCGGTAGGTTTCCACACTAATGCCAGTTTATTTTGTAATCCCAGAGAAAATCTCGACTCTGCAACAGGTGAAATGATCGAGGTTGTTTCCCAACCAACCAATGGCTTCTAAGAAAGACCAGAACAGTCCAGTGCCACGTCTCCAAAAAGCATTGTGATCCTGAGTAGACCGTAGAAACCTTTGGTGCAATTGGTTTACGATAAACTTAGGCTTGCAATGCTTTTGGAAGTCAATATTTTCTCTGTGATTACAAAATAAACACAAGCCTTAGAAACCTTCACTGGGTGTGTCTAGAGACGTCATCAACCTAGAAACTCATCGGCAATGTTGATGGTTTCTGGATTAATGACAAAATAGTGAGGATAAGTAGCAGAATTCAGTCGCTATAAAATAATTAGACATAATGTGAATCGGTGAAAATATGAGCTCTCAACCAGTGATTCACCGGAGCTCCTCAAGGACCACCTCCCTTATTTCCAAGTTGCACACATAGTAAAAAGAAATAAATCTGGAAATAAATACACGTGGGAATAAATAAATATAAAGTAAAAAATGAACGCATAAATAAATAAACTTAAAAATAAATAAATGAATGAATTAACTAAATAAATATAAGAATAATGTAAAAACATAAATGAAAGAATAAGTAAATAAAAGCTAAAAAGAATAACAATAAATACAGAAAATAATAAATAAAGAAAAAAAGGTTATAAAAAGTAAATTCGGGCTTAAATTTTATTGCAAATGAATTATATTTGTTTTATCAAATCATTTATTCCTTTATTTATTTTCCTATTGTTACATCTGTCTATCTGTCTGTCTGTCGGTCTGTCTGTCTATTAATTTCTGCAGGTTTGGTCTTCTATAGGTAGTGTATGTTGAGTGGGGAAGGTTGTGAACTTGCAGGGAAATTTTCACAATCTCTATGCCTTCAAACATGTAGGTTGTTTAAGCCCTTGATACCACCATGCACACGATCTGAGATTGTTGTGTGTGGTTTTGTTTTTATAAAGCTTTCTTTTGGGTGTGTCTAACTATGCTGTAGTTTTGTGGTCATGAGGTGCAAAGTACACTGACAGAGAAAGACAAAAGCACCATCTGTGCAGGTATGTTTTGAATTAGCATTAAAGTTAAGGTTTTTGGTTATTATATTGCCAGCAAATCTACATAACATCAGATTGGTTGTACATTTTAAATAACCAATCACTTATGTCATATATTTATTTATATATATATATATATATATATATATATATTGTGTCTGAATTTTAATTTTAACCCATTTTGTTTTTCAATGTAACTTCTGAAATGCACAAGGTTAGCTTGTTTTCATAGAGAAAACAAGTATAAAAACTGACTTGACGTATACATGAAATCTTTAAATGTTCAAGACTAGTAATGATTCAACCGAAGTGTTTGTGGTTAAATTTGTGGCAAACATCAGCTGTGTAGCAGAGGTGGAGTCAGGCAGGAAAAGGCTAATCTCACTCTCTCCTACACAAACGGAGAAGCAGGAAACGACAGTGTTTGTTCAGTGCCACTTTTCTTCCAGATTTCTATTCTGTTTGCTGCTGTTTTTTCCAGCTTCAGGCTTATTCTATCTGCTTTTGGATGAGAACAAGTGGAATATCGAACTAAACTGATGGATAAAGGCCTGTGCATTCTTTACTGACCGTACGGTTTGTGTTTGTTTGTTTGTTTGTTTGTTTGTTTGTTTGTATGTTTTCAGATTGCAATGCACAAGTCCACAAAGGCTGCAGAGAGAGTCTTCCTGTTTGTGCCAAGGTCAAAATGAAGGTAATCCACGGTCTTTTATACTGGTTCTCATATGACTGTCATAAACAGTACTTTTGCGCATTTCATATGTTTCTTTGCTAATTATTGTCAGTTTTATGACCAGAACTGTAGGAATAATATAAGTAAAAGGAAAGTTTACCCCAAATTGAAGATTCTGTCTGTATTTACTTTTCCAAACCTGTTTGCTGCAAATGAACTCTTCTTTTAATATCATAATATGGATCTATAAAGATTAAAGACTCGATTCAAATATTTCTTTCAGCAGCAAAAACAGCAGCAGACTGTTCCAGATTCTGCCTCGATGCCTGGAGTGACGCTTAGAAGTAAAAGTAAAGTCCTCATATAATCATGCATTTTTCATGTTTTATGTATTTCTGCTTTATTTCAAAAGTCTGACCGTGTAAACTTGTTAATATGTTTAGCCCTCCCAGCACGGGAACGTCCGTGGTCCACCATCTCTGTTGCTGATGATCAGCCCGCTACTCTCGCCCCTCCTCGGAAAAGCCCCAGCAGTATCATGTCTTTCAACAGCAACCCGCTGTCCAAGAGCATGTCCATTAATAACATCGCTGGGTCAGTGCCAATGCTAGCTGATAACATACAGATGTCTTTAGATTTAATATTGTAATTGCTCTTACAATCACAGTTTTGCACCATTGAATGTCTTGACAAGATTTCTGTCATGATTTTAGTTTATTCTTTACTGTTGCATTTAATTCATCATTTTAAAACAGATGAGAAATGTGCACTTGATATTTTGATTTTGAGGTCACTGTTTTATAAAATCAATAAGGCATTAAAACATAGAGTATATAACAAATCTTCTGCTCTTTGCACATTCAGGCAAATTGAAGACCCTCCTCTAAAGACTCTGAAGTTTCTGTCCCAGTCGACCGACTCTCTTCACAAGACCAGTAAAGTCAGCGAGTCCACAGAATCTCTTACCGATGAGGGTACGTCTCTTCATCTCGTAATTGAATCATTACCAACAAAATACACACCTGTCTTGAGTCCAAACATGTTATGAATATTGTATTAATTATTTACAGTGTGGCTATTCATTATAATTTAATTATTAAATTGTTTGCAATTGTAAATATATTATGATTATTATTACTGTTTTCAACATTGCAACTTTGCCATCACAGCAATACATTACAGTTTCAATAAAATTGGGAAAAAAGGCTTTTTTAAATTGCAATAGTATTTTACAATTTAACTGTTTTTACTGTATTTTTATCAAATAAATGCAGCCTTGTTAAGCATAATAGTCTTCTTCCAAAACATTACAAAAATCTTACCACAGGTTATGTAGCCGATCTTTACAATTGATTGGCATTCACTGTATATAAACAGAAATAAGTGTATATTCTAGAAAACGGCATCATTCTTACTGGTTTATGTGGACGGCAGGTACAGAGATGATGGATAGTCAGCTGATGGGAGAATTTGAAGCTGATGCCAAAGAGCTGGAAGCAGATTCTTGGAGCTTTACGGTGGACAAGAAATTCTTGAAACAGCTTAAAAAGGATGTTATCAAGAGGCAAGATGTCATTTACGGTAAGAGTCACACTAGACCCTCCAAAGAAGCGTCTGCTTTCATTTTCAAGCTTTGTGAGAAAAAGTATTGAAACTGTCGAGTGAGGTCATTGACACACTTGTAAGGTCATGTGATAAAGTTCCTGCCTTCTCATTATTAGAACTCATCCAGACCGAAATGCACCATGTGAGGACCTTGAAGATTATGGCTGATGTTTACAGTAAAGGGCTACTGAGAGAGGTTCAACTGGAGGTTCAGACTGTAGAGAAGATGTTCCCCATGTTAGATGACGTTCTAGACTTGCACACACAGTTCTTCTCACAGCTGCTCGAAAGGAAGAAAGAGTCAGGGAGCCAGGAAGAAGGTGGCTTTGTCATCCGAAAGATTGGTGATGTGCTGGTCTCTCAGGTACGTTCAGGCTCAAACTTGTGATGGAACATCAACAAAATGCCTCTGGATCTGTAGAAATGCATTGATTTGTAATGTCTGGAGCATTTATAGTAAGCATAATGCTAGTCTAGCATTTAAGTAACATACAATTTTTCCACTATTTATTCCTCCCTAGTTCTCAGGTTCCAGTGCCGAGAGAATGAAGAAGGTCTATGGGAAGTTCTGCAGCAGACACAATGAAGCTGTGAACTTCTACAAGGAGCTTCAAACCAAAGACAAACGTTTTCAAGCTTTCATCAAGGTAGCCATCTCAAATGATTTTGCCTTCACAAATTTCACACAGTAAAAACAGTTAGTTTGTAAAAGAAGCCTAAAGTGTTTATTCTTTTCCTCGTTTTGTTTCCTGCTCAAGACTCTAAAATGGAAACAGTCCCATGTTTCACATCTGTTTCTGTTTTCCAGAAAAAGATGAGCAGCTCTGTTGTCCGACGGCTAAGCATTCCTGAGTGTATGTTGTTAGTCACACAACGAATAACAAAGTATCCCGTCTTACTACAGAGAATACTGCAGCACACGAAAGGTACAACTAGTTACTATTCTAGTCAGGCTATGTCAGTACCCTTGAATTTATCTGTGGTGCTCCAGGTAATATTCTGAAGTATTTCATGACAGAAAATGAGGAAGACCATGCAGATGTAACCCAAGGTCTGAAGTTGGTGAAGGAGGTGATTGCCGCCGTGGACAATAAAGTAAACGAGCATGAGAAGAAAAAGAGGCTAAAGGAAGTGTACAGCCGGACAGACAGCAAGTCTATCATGAGGATGAAAAGTGGGCAGATGTTTGCCAGAGAGGATCTGTTACGTGGGCAGAAGTTAATTCACGATGGACCGCTACAGCTCAAGAACTCAGCGGGCAGACTCAAGGGTGAGAACCAGTGCAATGGGTTCATTGGTTAATGAATATATCAGCAGATAAAAATAAGTAAAAAAAAAAAAAATAATTCTTAAGAACCCCTTAGCAATCGCATAACAGCAACAACATAATAAAACCCACTCAGAACACCTTAGCAACAGCATATCACCAGAATGGCAATCACCTGCATCACCCTAGTAACCACATAACAACATGGAGAAAAAAACTCTCAGAACTCACAGAATACCTTAACAACCTTATAGCAACCACATAGTAACACACTGACAACCACATAACAAAAATTGTGTAAAAGACTCAGAACACCTTAAAAACCTTATAGCAACAGCATAGTAACACACTGACAACCACATAAAAACAATGTGTAAAAGGCACTCAGAACACCTTAACAAACTTTATAGCAACTGCATAGCAACAACATAACAACATGTAAAAAAGACTCTCAGAACACATTCCCAACCGCATAGCAACACCCTACCAACCACATAAAAACAATGTGTAAAAGACACTCAGAACACCTTAATAACCTTATAGCAACTGCATAGCAACACCCTGGCAACCACGTAACAACAACATGTAAAAAAGACTCTCAGAACACATTCCCAACCGCATAGCAACACCCTACCAACCACATAAAAACAATGTGTAAAAGACACTCAGAACACCTTAATAACCTTATAGCAACTGCATAGCAAGACCCTGGCAACCATGTAACAACAGCAAGAAACCACTCACAACACCTTGGCACTAACAAACCACATAGCAACATCCTAGGACTCAAGCCACATCTTAGCAACCACATAACAGCAACAATGTGCTAAACATCATTCAGAATACCTTAACCACCTTAGCAACCACCCACAACACTTTAGCAACAGCTGAACAAAAACAACAAGCTAAACAGATTAGCATCTGCAGAACAACGCCATGGAAGCCACCCACAACACCTTAAAATTGTGGTGCGAGGTTTGCCTCTCACATTTAATTCAGAAAATGTAATCTAGTTTCACATTTCAAAATACAGTACATGGATAAACAGCGTTAACATTTCGCTGACAGAACGAAGTCAGGTCTGTCACCATAGCAACATACACCCACACTAACACAAACAGGGCCTGTTTTTTAATGTTTTTTAATTCTTCTCCAGATGTCCAGGCTCTGCTGCTGAGGGATGTGATTGTGTTCCTACAGGAGAAAGATCAGAAGTACATATTCGCATCCTTGGTATGTTTATCATTACAACTCTGCCTGTGATTCCCAGAACAGTGTTCCTCAATAATACATGTTTACACTATCTTGTTTGGATTCTGGAATCTAGTATTGTGTAATGTCTCTGGCGCTCTATCAGTGCTGGTTTTAATAGGAACATTGACATATGAAGGTCTTTGGCACTTTCTAATCGTATGACCTCGCCCCATAATTTCCTAGTCCCATCTCATCTACTTGTTCTCCACTCTCAGGACCAGCGCTCCACCGTCATCTCTCTGCAGAAACTCATTTTGAGGGAAGTAGCCAATGAGGAGAAAGGACTGTTCCTGATCACGGCAGGCATTGAGAAGCCTGAGATGGTAGAAGTGTACACCAGCTCTAAGGAGGAGAGGAACACATGGATGCAGCTCATTCAGGAGGCCATGCAGTCAGTGTGAGTCTCTGAATCTGGTTCTCATTTTATATGCAAGAAGGAGGGATGCACAATATATCGGTCAAGAACCGATAACTCTCTTTTTTTTTTTTTTAATCGGCCAATATTGAATATTTAATTATCATCTCATTTTTCCTATTTTTACATTTAGATTACCTTTTCCGTCATCTTACACTCACTTAAATTAAATTTTTAGAAATTAAAAATAACACTGTAAATTGTAATCTTTAGCCAATTTTAAAACGAATATACAGTATACAGTATATTTTAATAATATACATTCCAATGTTTTTCAGTGTTTTTATTTTTAATTTATCTTGATAAAATAATATAAATAATAAGTAAAAAGAATAGTCAGCTTAACATAATTGAAAAAACGTACTTTAAACATCACAATTTGTGAGAGCGGGTAGTCTTTTTTACAGACTCTCGATTTTCTCCAGGGAGGGAGATGATGATGAAGGTGTGCCTAGTGAAAACGAAGAGGACAGAAGACTTCAAGAAATCAAAGTCAAGGAGTTGAGAGGTGCAGAATTCCATCTTTCCTTTTTCTGGCTTAAAATGACTTCAATGTGTAGATATGGTTTGTTTGAGGTTAGAGTAAAGACAGAATTTAAAGTCTTAAAAGCTCATGAATGTTTAGTGATTACAATATTTCATTGTAGTGTTTCACTGACTAGAAATTAATGAGTATAGTCGGTTTAAAATTATTTTTAAAAACTCTAGTGACTAGAATGACTGAAAAACCCATGAAAATTAGTGGTCAAAAGGTGTAAAATTCTGCTAAAATTAATGAAGTGAATCTTAGGTTGCCTGTCATGAAATTAACATCTGTCTTTACAGATCAGCTGCACAAGAGGGATGAGCAGATCTTGACTTTACTGGAGGAGAAAGTGAAGTTGTTCAGGGACATGTGTGACTGTGGCGTACCAGACGAGACCAGCCTTCGCAACAGAATGCTCTTCAGGGCCACGCCCGATGACATCACCAAAGGGCAGCCAATCATGAAAGAGGCTCTGAAGGAAGGTGAGACGACTAGTACAGTTATATAATGCTTATTATATAAGTTGGAAAAACACTGTGGTCGTCTTACAAGCACATGGCAGCTAGTAAACTTGATACATGGGAAATACGTTTTTATGAATATTGCAGTCTTAGAGGGCTGAAATGTAGAACATAATTTGGTTTTAAAATGACTATGAAGTGAAGGGTGTTAGCAACATGTTGCATCACATCATAGTGCAGCATGTGCGTATGGTCCCTGGCCAGTTAGACTTTCTTAATCAGAAACACATGAAATATGGCCTCAATACTGGCTGTGCTTGTAGCAGGTATTGGTTAAATGAATAATGAAAATAATAAAACGCTACAAGTGTTTGCAAATATGATGATTTATTATTTAAAGCTCAAATATTGAATAATGCAATTTAATAATGCCAGTTGGTCAAATTAATAGAAATAAAAATAGAAGCATTTTCAGTATGCACTTAGACGTTTTAATATAAAAATAATAAAATGCAATAAATGATTGCAAAAATTATGATTTATTATTTGTAGCTACTTGTCAACATTAAAATTATTTTTGACATTAAAGGCGCAATATGTAAGTTTTCACCGCTAGAGGTCGCATTTTCAAAACAATAACAAAGGCGAAGCTTGTTGATGCTATGAAGGAGAGTGGAACGATGGGAGATGTCGTTTTCACCATCCAGAGATGTCCGAATCATGTTCACGGATGTAATTAATTCATTTTTTTTATTACCTGTACCTTCCAAAGTTATTCAAACAGCGAATAAATTATATAGAGAAAGCGAGCAAAGAACAGAACGTTTAACGCTACATTGTCAAAGAACAGTATGCCTGACTTCAGTCTAGCACGAGTTTAAGCATTCTCAAAAAACTCCCCTTATAATCAGTAAAGCTGTCTATACACTGTTTGATGAATGGATCTCCTACTTACATCATACGTACATCTGCACTTTATTGTTTCTGATGAGAAAATTTGCAAGAGAGCAGAATTCAGTTAGCGAGCGCGCACACTAAACAAAACTCCCGTTTCAGCGATGACTCATCTAAACGCCTCTGATTGGCCGCTGCGTTCATAAACTCAACAGATTCGTGTGTGATTGGTTATAACGCGCAACACTGTAAAAACGCGGAAAAAGATTGATGGTGCAACATTGAGCAGATCTAAATTTAATGCTGCAGTCAACACTTTTCATTTCATTTTCATTTTATTCGCGACCGCCGTAATGGATTTAGTTTAACTGCAGCAGCATTTTTGTCCACGTGTGTTGCTATAGTTTCTACAAGCGGAAACCGATAGCGCGGATATTACGTAATTGATAGGCGACAATGAACCAGGACGAGCCATTATTTAAAATTGGAATTTCTCTGGATTTACAAATCCTTGGGAACTTTTGGGATAATGTAAGTGCACAACAGCATGAAATATATAACAATGTGCAAGTGGTTTTTGGATATTTTATTACGAAGATCGTACATATCGTGCCTTTAAAATACAGATGGATGCTGCATACTGGTAGTGGCTAAGACTGAGTATGGGAAAAGTCACTATATAATTGTAGCAAATAATTTATTTTTGTTATTTTATCTTTATTTAATTTTAAATCAATGTGCAGAGACACCTATAAGTAAGCTATTCTAGGTTTATGCCCGCAAATATTGTAAACGGCTATTGCTCTGTGCTGCTATCAAAACATTGCTGTTTGTTTTGCACGGAGCTATGTGTTTACTGACCAATAGCAGATGGGGAAGTGTTTGTGGAAACCTGTTTGAAAACAAAATTGCTGTTAGTGACAGAAATCACATGCTTCACCTATAAGGAAAAATTCATGCACGTGATTTAACATAAAATACAAACTTCACATTTCTTCTTTAAAACTACTCTAAAATGACTCTAAAACTTACTTCCATTGAAAGTGACAAAACACCAATGAAAATTGAGTAAATGATATTCCCGAACAGCATTTTAGAGTGTACTTAGTGAGAAAGATCTTGAAAGTGCTGAGAAGACACTTTGGCTTTGAATGTGGGAGTGATAGATAGTGCTTGTCACAGTTCATGCAGTATAGTACATGGGCAAAATCGATAGGTAAAGCTGATCTGAATTCGCAAGGCAGGAACAGATAATGGATTGCTTTAAGGTTGCAGGTCAAGAACGGGAAAGA